GTGATTTAGAGATATAAACTATTTATAAAATACAAGTAGTAAGAAGTTGAGAGGAAACATTATGATGGGACATTACTGCTAGCGTCCCACTCCATTGTAGTAGTTGTAAAAGCAGAGAATGCTAGGATATGGAAATTGGAAGGGATCTTACAGAGCCGTCTTCCCTTTTACAGGTCCAGGAACACAGAAAGGGACTCACCCTTAATTTGCTCTCTCTGCGCCTTCTTAGCCTGGCTCCCACCAGTCAAAACAAGGAACAAAGAAAAGGAGGAGTGGAGGGGTAGGATTAGAGCTTTGGAGGGCAGGGGATCAGGACAGGGGAAGATCAACTGGCTCTAACAGCGCCGGACAAAATGAAGGGCTGGAGTTGGGAGGGTCTAACTTCCTGCTCTCGGAGGGGAAGTGTGAGAAGGCGACAGTTTCAAGACCCCCAGTACCCAGAGATGGGGCTGAGGGAGGCACCACATCCTCTGGTGACAGATCAGATTCCTGAGGTCTGGAAAGTGTTACGTAGCATTATTCTAAACAGGGCTATGAGATAGAGCAAGCAATTATGGGCCATTTAACTTAACATCATTTACAGAAAAATATTAGGAGAAGTTTGCAGAGGGGACAACTCGACAAGCATATGGTAATTTGATTAGAAACAGGCCACATGTTTTTACTGAAGGAAGGTGTTGTTTTAACTAGCTTGTTGGACTTCTTTGAAGTTACTGCTTTCTCAAATCTGGATTTTAACTCATGATTTTTCTAATATCTATAAAGAATGGGAATGAACATAAAGTATCTAAGTAAATAGAACAAAAAACAATCACAATCGAGGACACTAGAAATACAATGGTAAGGAAAATGAATGTTAAGACAAATAATATAGCAAGGAAAAACTTGACTTCACATCCTCTAGTAGTGTAAGATATTTCTCAGGAAAGATATGGAATTCGAATTTTGGTCTATGAATGTGTCTCCTATGCCATTTCCTAAAATGCTCTGCAGAAAAAAATGATTTTGGTTAGTTTCACCCACACACACACAAAACCTAGCTTTTTTTGTTTCCCCCCCTTAAGTGGACTGACCTTTTGGTGTGGTTAAAAATTTGTCACATTAGGATGAATTTCTCATTAATCCAACCTTTGCACATTTTCCAAGTGCAAAATTCTCAAACAAAACAAAGACATCTTCACGGTTATTTTAAATAAAGTAATAAATCAATATACATTTTCTCATATTTGCATATTTTCATATCACTGAATAACTACTGAATCTTCAGAAAGAGAATCAGAAAGAATGAAAATCAGGTTAAAGCAAGAATAAAAATATCAAAGTATTTATTAATGTTTGCCTGAAGCCTTTATTATACCTTCTTATCTGTTTTTTACTGGTTATTCTGTACAATTCACGATGTGTCATTCTACTTTTCAAAAGGTACTAGATTTAAGTAACTGATGCATACCTCTGTCTGTACAATCTCCACAAGGGGAGGGGGGCTGTGTCTGTTTTGTTCATACTGTATTCCCAGGGCCACAAAGTGGGTGGTAAATATTTGGTGAATGAATGAATAAATAAATAACAATGACAGCATCGATACTGGGTATTTTACCGTGTGCCAGATCCTGTGTTAATAAGCGTTTTATATAATTGACTGTTAATTCTTCAACACTTCTATAAACTTCTTGCCCTTCTATTAATCCCATTTTTAAAGACAAGGAAACAGAGGCATTGAGAAGTTGAGTAACTTGCCTAAGGTCGTGCAGCCGCTCATTGACTGTTTTTGAACTCGGGCAGTCTGACCCTAGGGCCTGCATGTAAGCACTACACCACTACTTCTCTGTGATCGCAATGCCTGTGTATAAACGGCTGCATGTATAGGAAATTACATACAAGATGGGAGTTTTCAGAGGCATGGAACTCAATTGTTAATGTCGCCATCACCAAATACTAGAATTCAGGGGGCAATGGGAGATTTAAAGTCTAATTTCCAGGATCAAGATCTTCACAGAAGCAAAACTCCTAAACATTTAAAGGAGACACAGAGATTTATAGGTAAAGAACCAAAAGAATGTGACTCCATTCAGCTCTAATTGGACGCTAAAGTCCTTAGCTCAGAACAAAAACTTTCAAGACTTTCCATGTTGGTAACAGAAGCAAGATTTAAGGTTTTGTGGTGGCTAAATCAATGAGGACAAAAATTACTGGTGTGTGTGGAAATATGTTCTCTATGGAATCATTGGTGGCCTCTTTTGGGTTAGTGCTGCCCCATGCTGGGTAAAGAGCCTTTTTAAAAACTAGCCTGAATCTTATTAAAAACAACAACAACAACAACATAAAGTTCTATGTTCCTTTAATTGCATTAGGATATTGATGTTCTTATTACTTGATGGTATTTTTTTCCCCCTATCAATCATTCTGGAACCATTTCACTCTAAGATTTCGTTTATGCCTTTTGGCTTTGAAGTGCCTTGTGTGCTGAAAATCTTGGTGGGTACATGATTCAGGCTGATCAGGAGATCAGACTTATAAAAGAATTCAAGAAAGAAAGAAAAAAAGCCTCTGTCATTTGCAAGATAGATTTAAGACACTGAAATGGGAAGGATCTAATTAAGACATGGGAGAATTCCATGTCCATCCTACACTGAGTACTGACAAAACTCAGAGAAGCTGGGTGTTTTTCAGGACTCATGCTCAATGACTCTAGATGTGTTGGCCACACCTAAGTGAAAGCTCATTTACAAGTCGGCCTCCAGTTCTGGTCACCTTTCAACTGGGAGAGTACTATCCCCCTAAGGCAATTCAACATGAGTCTGTCAAGCTGGCCCAAGTTTTGGGAAAACTCGTTGTTCTGAGCAATGAGGTTGAAAGTTTAGTCTCACCATACAAGAAAAGCCTGTCCAACAGAATACTAAGTTGAAGTAGGTTGAACGAAAATAACGCAGCCTAAAGGCTTAGAAAGATGAAATGCAGTTAGAAATCCCAAATCAAGCCAGGAATTCCGAATCAAAAGGGAATCTGGGGTGAGAGCTCCAGCAGTGAAAAACTAAAGCAAGCATATGCAATAAGATGCCGCGCTGACGTTCAAACAACATCAGTGTAAACAGAATTGCAGAGCAGGTATGATGATGGCATTTGCATGAATAAAAGAAATGAGAGGAGGGATGCAGTGTTGGGGCAGGAAAGAGGGGTCGATACAGACTCCAAGAATTGTCTTGTTAGTCCAAGGGTCCTTTTCCTGTTCAGCAAATTCTTTTGTTCCGTGCCCTTATCAATCCCACACCTTGCCTAAGTAAGAAAGACAGACAAGCCATTCTTAATGACTTCCTAGCTTTTGAAACTATTTTGGTGTTGGAGAGAGAAAGAACCATGTTTAAATTGTTACAAGGATTGAGGTTTCTGTTGGCTCAGTAAATTTTCCACTCTGAGATGACAATGTTTGTCAGTGAGGACAGAAACAAATTTGTCCATTTATGTAATCTGTGCCATGCTGCAGAAAAATGACACCCTTGTGGCACCTCTTTGGGACAGGGGAGCGAAGGCAGGGTGGCTAGGGGGCTCCACAGACAGGCATCCCTGGCTGTGTCAGCAGGAGTGTGCTGGTATCTTCCTCCCCCAGAGACGAAGCACATCCTCTCCCTCGCACACCCACTCGCCAGTAGCACAGGGAGCCATTGTTCACTGTGTGTCAAAGACCCAGCCACACCCTGTGCCAGGACAATGCTCGGACTCTACAGCCCTAGTCTCTGAGCACTGCTGATTTCCTTTCCTTTTTATTTCCCCCTGTGTGGAAGAGTCCACAAAATGAAGTTTTTTCTTTTGTTTAAAACAGGACATTTTAAAGGGTGGTTACTGATGACACACTCACTTTCAGTCTCTCTTCACTGGGGTTTTCCTAGTCTCTGAAAGGTTGTACAACAGATAGGAATTTGGTTCAAAGCACAGATAAAATGGGTTCTAATTTCACAGCAAATGTATATTTCATTAGGTAACATCTGAACATTTCTCTCTGAAGATGCTGCTTTCTCTTATCTTTAGATATGTTTAACATGTTGGGTTTTGTCACCACAGTGTGAAAGTAGACCACATGAAAGTGATTAACACCAAGCTAGAAATTTTTATAAATTTAGGAAAGGAGGATGTTATATCCTAACAACCTATAGGTCATTTCTTAATACAGACAACTTTTGTATTCATCCGCTCATCAGTCAATATTTATGAAGCACCTACGTTTTATAGCCTAAGATATTAAAAGAAAAGTCCTTATTGTCAAAGAATTTGCAGTTTGGTAAAGAGAAGGTCATGTAAACAAATGAGTACAATAACTTATAATAGGTGTTATAGCATAATTATGTATAGTGTATAACGCAGATACAAATGAAGGAGGAGAAATTTTAGTGGTAACAGTATATTGACCAGAAAAGGATTCATAGACAGGACACTATGTGATCGAAATCTTAAAAAATGTACAGGGTATCCTTTATGGCTTAGGTTTGTGTGAGTGTGTGTGGGTGCCTATGAGTGTGTGTACATGTGTGAGTGCATGTGTGTAAGGAAAGGGAAACCGCCCTCCTGATCTCGAGGTCCTGCCGGTCATGGAGGGCCTTGTAAGTCAGCCATCCTGTCCTGGAGGTATCAGGGATCAGCTATCAAAGCTAATAATGTGAGGAGACCTGCCTTTGATAGAAGTCTCCATTTCTCAAATCAACTATTTCCTTGGCTTAGGAAAGAAGGACGTTATATTCTAATGATCTATATGTCATTTCTTAATACTTTTGTGTTCATCCACTCATCAGTCAATATTTGTCTTCCTTTATACAGCAATGGCTTATGTGGTGAGGATAACATCTCAAATTCAATTCACTGTATTCTGGTTTGGGAACTGCTCACTGAAGGATGTCAGAGAACCCAAGGGAAAGCTTTGAAAGCTGGCTGTGGATATTCAGTGAGAACATCTTCCCAGCCAGCCAACCAGCCAAATGTGGCCATGCCCTGGGTGGCCAGGGAGTCCTTACCACTTCGGTTGGTCGGTAGTATTTGAGATCCACGGTCACGTGAACTTTGCCGGTCTCTTTACATCTGCCCACTTCATTTTCATTCTTTCCTTCCCACCTGTAAAGGAGATAAATACTTAATCAGGCTCTAATTGCTTGGGAGCATTTGTCACATTGTAGTCCCTCGGGAAGGCTCAGCCTTCTCCCTGCAGGAGTGTATAAGCTCATTAACTACAGGAATAAAAGCTGATGTGTAACCACATTATCCGGGCAACAGTGACTTTAAAAGCCTTTCTAGACCTGTTTCGAAAGGGCAGGTTTTATTTTCTTTCTTTTTAAGAAAATCATGATGGGTTCAGAAGTGAGACTTTAGAAATGAACAGATTAGCCAGAATAAGGAATTAGACAACAACTGTCTAATTTCGACAAAATTAGACAACAGGGAGTTCAAAGATCTGTACTCCTTTAGACTACTCTTGATAACTATCAATTATTATGAATTAATTAATGTCTTCTGTGTCCCCTTTATTTTTTTTTATTTTGTAGTTATGTTTTAGGGATATTTATTGTAACTTCAATGCATTCCAGTTTGGAATAAGTTTCACACCCTAAATTAACCATTCATCTCATCTTTGTATTATATGTAAGTTCCCTGGCTCTACCCAGTCAGCAGTAGGCCTCATTAATAAATCTCAGATGATTAAACCTCCAAAAAGTTTATGCCTGTTAAAAGAGTGTGTATTAGCATCTCTGATTCAGCTACAATGTTCTTTGGACTTAGGTTTTTCTTCCTTAAACATCCACAGTTGGAAAGAGTACCCCCCTCAAGTCTATATGGTGAATTGTGCAGCATATGCTCATAAGCTTCAAGACCAGCTTGCTGGGATTCCATTTTATATTCTCATTTTTAAAGAAATGAAGGTACTGTTAACCTCTGGATCTCTACAATCTAATATCCAAGCAACAGATGATACACAATTAAAATTATTTTTACAAATGAATCTTTTCAGGAAAGAAAGAAAAGAAATTACAAAGTAATGTTTGACTTCAATGCTTATTTTAGAACTAGTTTGCTTTATCAGTTGGAAATGAATCCTATGACAACAGGACAATTTTGTGTGCTCCCTGGATCAGAGTCATAGTGGGGATCAAGGGAAAGAACAGAGCATTAAATTAGTTACTTGACTATGTCGTTCACATGTGTTATTGTAGATGAACATTAACTGTTGATCATGGTTATACTTTGGACATAGGTTGGGTATTAGAGATATAAACTACCCTTATAAGCTTTATTCCCCCAAGATCATCTGAATGTTCTAGCCTCAGTTTACTCTTTTATAGCAGAGGGATAATATTTCATTGTTGGAAAAAATCAGTTTAGAAGTACACTGAATTGGTCAATGGACTCAAGGCAAATACGAAGAACATCCCATAACACACAAAGAATTAACAGTGTACATTGAACAATGTAGAACTGTATAACTGGCATTTTTCTATGACTTTTATATTAATTAGTTGCCTCAAAAAGGGTGTTTGGTAATTTACTTATTTGGTTTAATTTCTTACTATTGATTAGACTAATTTGGCAGGATGAGAGCTATGTTTTTGGAAAAATCGCCTGGAAATGGTATGTGGATGCTTTAGAGCACACAGACTAAAAATACTGTAAAATTAGAAAACCTAAATGGTGATAAACCCTGTACATCTCTTTTTTAAAAAGATTTATTTATTTTTAGAGAGAGCGAGAAAGAGGGTCCGAGCGTGTAAGAGCAGGGGAGGGGTATGGGGAGGGGCAGAGGGAGAGAGAGAAAGTCTCCAGCAGACTCCCCGCTAAGCATGGAGACCCACGGGGGGCTCGATCTCACGACTCAATCCCACAACCCTGAGATCATGACCTGAGCCAAAATCAAGAGTCAGACACTCAACCAACTGAGCCACCCAGGCACCCCATCCTTGTACATCTCTTAAGGAAAAGACCAAATCCTGGCAAATATCTACAGTAAGGGAAAATAACTGGTAAAATCATTTTTTTTTTAAATTACCTATCTAATTCCGAAGTTAATAGTTTAAGTGGAGGCTTCTCTTTGGTTAGGCTTTCAGTAAGTGAAAGGATATTTGTACCTCATAAGCATCTTTGTATTTTTGTTCCTATTTTATACTCATCCAAGAGAAACCAGTTCAGCATATGTCTTCCTGACAGTTATCTCCCACTAAGCCAAAAGGGTTAACAAAATTACTGCTCATAGTTTTGCTGTTTTCCCCCAAGGCAGCTAGGCATGTAATCTATCACGGGTCATGCTGACTCGTGTGCACACATACATATTGGTAACACTGTCCTTCTTATTGATAAATCTGCTCAGATGTCACAAACTTGAGAACTGGAGATTCAAATCTATTTTTAATTGTTTTCTTGAAACCACACATGAACACACACACATTTAAGTTGCTGAAGGCCTGGGAAAGACCTGGAGAGCTTTGCCTGACTGGGGAGGGAGCACGTGGGGCAGGAAAGGAATGAGGCAGAGCCAGCTCTAGAGCAGGGGCTGACAAACTGTTTCTGTGAAGAACCAGAAAGTAAATATTTTAGGCTTTACAGATCACATACAGTCTCTGTTACATATTCCTCCCTTTTCTCCTCCCCCTTGTTTTCTTCCTCCTCCTTTTCTTCCTCATCATTTTTTTTTAAACTACCCTTTAAAAACTGTAAAAACATCCTTACAGGACAGTAGAAAACAGGTGGGGTTTTGGCCTATAGGCCATGGGTAGCTCACCCCTGCTTTAGGGTATGAGTTAATGGTATATCCTCACCCTCAACTAAAAGAAAACATTTAATTCCCTTTCATACCAACCAGTTGCATTGCTGGACCAGCTTGAATTTTCCTGTTTACCACTGATTCCCTTTGACTGCTCTGCAGCCATATGCTAACCTCTGGGATTGGTAAAGAGTAGCTGAAATGGGAAAAGACTGATGGAAGGAATCTGCAAGTTAGATTTGAGTTTGATGCCGCTTGGGCACCTGTGGGGATGAGCTGTGGGCACACAGGCCTTCTTGGTCTCTGTCTGAATACTGTCTGCTGGGCGGCCATCTTGCAAATGCTGTCTACAGTCCAAACCATCTCTAGGGGCACAGCATTGCCCCTACAATTAATCTAGTTGCATTGAATAATCAGCTGTAACCAGGAAATGGCTCAAAGCAGAACGGAGTTGGCAAAAAACACTTTGCAATTTGCACTAGGTCTGCATGAGGGCAGTAAGCAAAAGTTTCGGCCAAGGGCCAAAAAACTTTCAGTTACAACAATACACAAAACACTTGTATTAACAAGTAAAAGGTAACAGCTAACTTGTCCTAACAAGCAATGTTGTGACTCAAGGCAGAACTGGGATGTTAAGAAAGGAAGGTGGCTTGACAGGGAGTCAAGGATTCAGCTAATTAACAGGAATTGTTACCCTCCAATTTAGATCAGCAGCTCTCTGAGCAGAGGCCCTGTATAATCCAATTTTAAAAATACATTGTTGGTTCCTGATAAGCATTAAATTGCAATAGAAAGCATTCAAGAATAATGGAATCAAGCACAATAAGGCAAGATGAGGTGCTATTAAAATCTACTCCATTAGGAATTCCTTTAACGAACAATAAAAGCAAAGTCAGCTGTATAAAGTTTAGGAGACAGAGCTAAAGTAAGGGAGGGGACGATGGACTCCTTATAGCAACCTCAATATCACCAAAGCACTCAGGAATTATTTTTAAAACTACTATTTTATTAGGACACAGATATGGAAATAGGGGGGTGCCAAAGGCTACAATTTAGAAAATGACATAAATTTGTCCTAGAAGAATTATTAGGTTCTGGATAAAGGTGGTGGTTTGTACACTTTTGCTCCTTCCCCAGACCCCTTTCAAAAGGAGAATGAACTCACAAGGGCTAAAAGAACAAGAAAGAGACAAGAGAAACCAAATTCTGGAAGCTGGAAAGCCAGATGGATGAGTGTTAAAGGACTTAACAGAAGCCCTAGAAAACAGACTCCTAAGCCAGCAGTGGGGAAGCTGAGAATGAACCCAATTTACACTTGCAGAAGCCCTCAGATGTCAGGAAGTGAGGGCGGATTACTTACGACTCTCCCTGAGAAGCAGTGTGTTGCCTAGTCCCCTCCCAGATTCCACATCACTTGGCAACTGCCTCACCCTCCCTGGAGAACAAGGTCCCAGGACTGAAGGTCACTGGGCTTGCGAAGGGTGGGGTCACCATGCTGAAAAGAAGGAAAAATTCAGGGAAGTCTGTGTGCTGAATGCAGAGACTCCCCAGGGCTCTGGCAGTCAGGCGTATCTCCTTCCAGGCAGAAGATTCTCCTCTGGGCATCAGAGATTCTCCAACTAAATGGTCCTTTTACGTCTCCCTATCGTGACACAGTCAGCAAGCTCTAACCATCTTCTCAAAAACTCCCAATTAGCCTCTTAGGCTTCCCCTTCAAAAAAAAAAATTATTTTACTTTTTTAATTTGAAGAGCTATTTATTTATCTATCTATTTATTTATTTAGTTTCAGGGGTAGAATTTAGTGATTCATCAGTTGCAAATAACACCAGTGCTCATTACATCAAATGCCCTCCTTAATGCCCATCACCCAGTTACCCCAACCCCCTCCCACCACCCCCTCCAGCAACCCTCAGGTTGTTTTCTAGTTGAGTCTCTTATGGTTTGCCTCCTTCTCTATTGTCATCTTCTTATCTTTTTCCTTCCCTTCTATGATCATCTGTTTTGTTTCTTAAATTCCACGTATGAGTGAAATCATATGATGTTTGTCTTTCTCTGACTTATTTCACATAATACCCTCTAGTTTATCCACATTGTTGCAAATGGTAAGATTTCATTCTTTTTGATGGCTGAGTAATATTCCATTTTGTGTGTTTGTGTATATACACCCATACATATGTATACCACCTCTTCTTTATCCATTCATCTGTCAATGACATCTAGGCTCTTTCCATATTTTGGCAATTGTGGACATTGTTGCTATAAACATTGGGGTGCATGTGCCCCTTCGAATCACTATGTTTGTATCCTTTGGATAAATACCTATCAGTGTAATTGTTGGGTAGTAGGGTAGCTCTATTTTTAACT